GATTTAGCTGTGGTGTCAAAAATATGTACAAGATTACAAAATTGCTCAATTATCTCTCTTTTTCCATTCACATATTGCAAGACAATAGCCATTTGCTCTTTCATGGATACATCACAAGACTCATCAATTAAAACTATAAATAAGCCATCTCCAATATCTTTAATGATTTCTTCTGTTGCTTCACTAACAATTGCTCTAACAATCACTTTTTGAATCTTCAGTGACGTCATTTTATTGTTTTCAGGAGCATTACCCAACATCACTTTATTAATGCTGTCATTATGTTCCGCAAGAAAGTGTAAAAGTTCAAGAAAATTCCCTTTATTGAAAGAGTCATCAGATTCATCATAACCATGAAAAGCTAATCCTTGGCGCAAAAGCCATATAATACAATCAATTGATGCACCCAATCATATACGATACTCTTTTTGACTTGCCTCATCATAATTGGAAAACACAGTTTCAATGCTTTGATTTTGGTTCATCAAAGCATCACACATCATTTTATCTTTATTATGAGGACTTGAGATGGTACCAACATGCCTGGCTAAAGCTTTTTTGTCTTTCCAATTTCTAAAACCACAATAAATCCAAGTAGGTTCAGCACCATTATGTGGGAAGACATAACAATACAAACAAAATATGACATCCTCAGATACACTGTACTCCAACCAACTAATGTTATCATCAAACCAAGAAGGACAAAAGCGTCGAAATTTATTTCCACATTGACTAAATGGAAAATTATGTCCATGTGGTTGGCAAGGTCCTTTTTGCAAATATGCTCTTCTCAAGTATCTTGAATATTAATATCATAAGAGTAAATTGGAGATCTCTCCCTAAGGTCTGAAATCAAATTCTCTAAATTAAACTCTACACGTGACTTTTTTTTACTTGAACCTCCATCAATATTTGCATCATGAACACATTTTTTTTCTACTTGGACCTTTTTTGAGAAGTATTTTCCATGTGTGTTTTTACCAAAAAAAGATTTAATTTAATTATTTAAAATATAATTGACTAATATATGTTAAAACAATTTTAATAGTTAAAATAATTTTTTAAAAAAGGAATATTACTATTAGCAAGAACTTTAAAAATCAAAATATGATTTTAACAATGAAATTTAATAACTAACCTATTTGGATGGACAAACTCACAAGGGTAATACTATTAAACTAACATATAAAGAATATTACTATCAGCCATGATTCATGAGCCAGGAAATCGAAGTTAATTACCTGATGAGAGAGAGATCCATCAACAGAGCCCAGAAGTAGAGAAGGAACAGTAGAGTCCTTTTCTTCCTTAGTCTTCTTCATCCGCCATGAAAGAAAAACTAATATTTGAATTAGTTAATTAGGGACCTGGGGTTTTGCAGAGAGAAATTGAGAGTTAGGAGAAAATTGATAACAGGTGTTAGGTTATTGAGATGGTGATAATTTTTGTATATTATTTTTTAATATAATTTTTATATGTTATTAAATAAATAAATATATTTAATTTAAAAAATTTAAATAAATAAAAAATAAATTATTTAAATAACAAATAAAATTATATAAAAAATGAGATAAATATGTTTTTTTTCTTTTTGATCTTGATAAAAATGTTCTTTTAAATTATATTTCAATTGAAAATTAATGACGTTTTGTTGATTTAATTTAGAAAAGGCACATCAGCAGAACACGTGGCTTGCCACGTAGTTGCCCGTGTCGCATCCCGCCAATAAGCAGCCTGTATCATTTTCCTTCGTATATTTATTTTAAAGGATGATTTTTGTATAATCTTTTTGTTTTATTTTTCCGTACAATTTAATATGTCATTAAAATAATTAATTCTTTTAATTCATGTAAAATTTATAATATTAAATGCATTCACTTATTTAATAATACGTGAAAATTACACAAAAAATAATATAAAAAAATTATTCCTATAGCACCACTCTTATTTTAATGATTTCTTTGGTCTTTTTTATTTTTTTGACCAGCCATAGCTGCG